TCCTGCCTGGCATTACATCTTCTATATTAGGTCGCAACGAAAGTCCTGGCGGATTTCTTCAAAGTCCTGACAAACGGCTGCGCATTAACCTGGAGGGGAAATTTTTAACCATATACAGGAATGGTAACATCCCTTCATATTTCCGAGTCTCACCTCCTGCAGGCCTTTTGGAGCCTGGAAAATGCCATAAGTTTCTACCCATGTACGCCACTGACTTCTTTGCGAATTTTGTATGGGACACACAGCGAGCGAAGCCTGCCGCAAAATATGCTCTGTGGAAGTAGGGGGAGTGGTAAGTGAAAAAACCTGCCAACTTTGGTTCAGAAGGCTCCGCGAAGGAAACTACAACCTCGAAGATGGACGCCCAACGAAAGTTAATTTCGAACGTTTGGAGCTGTTACTTCAAGACTTTCCGCATGCAAGCGCCATGGAGCTGGCAAAGGAGATGCACTGCTTCAACATGGCCACAGGTCGTGTTCATCACATGCTGGAAAAAGTTGAGAAACTTGGTCGATTGATCCCTCATGAGCTGACAGAGCATTGCAAGAAGAGGTGCGGAGGTTTTCTTGCAAGGAGTCGCCGTTTCGACTGGTTGGATAATGTAATTACTGGAGACGAAAGGTGGGGGCTCTACCTATGTCATACCAGAAGAAGACCGTGAATGGGTGCGAACCAGAAGCCAGAGCCTGTTCCAAAGCAGGAGGTTCATCCCAAGAAAGTTCCTCTGTCAGTTTGGTGGAGAGTTCGGGGAACACGTCATTACGAGATGCCAGACAATACCATCGTCGACGCCGAGGTGTACTGCTCACAACCACGAAGGCTCGCAGTTGAAGTCGCGAAACTTCGCCCTGAGATGGACGAAGTTTTTCTTCTTCATGACAACGCGTGACCCCATGTTGCAAGGGTAACCCAGGACACATTGGCGGAACTTGGATCTGCGGTTTCACCCCATCCTCCAGGTTCGCCAGGTCTTGCACCTACGGATTACCACCCCTCCTTTCCCTGGCTCACTTCTCAAAGGATAAAAACTACGACAACTTTCAATAGCTGAAAGCGGACATGGGCACTTCTTCGACTCGAAGCCTGCCGAATTTTGAAGGAGAGGCATTTGTTTCCTTGTCGACCGATGGCGGACTGGTGTAAGTGCTTGTGGGAATTATTATTAAGAATAAAGTTCAATTCAAAGAAAGATACGAGTTTTTGAAATTGAGGGTCGAATCCGCCATTACTTTCGTTGCGACCTAATACTTTTGACCGTCCACGATCTGCTGGAATGTTCAAAACTATAAAGCTTAGGTCTTCTGTATTATGTACTTCTCCTGAATCATCTAGTCCAAGTTCATACCGCCTGGGGAATTTGGAAGCATTTCCTGGTGAGTATGGCGTGTTCAGCACCCGAAAAGCCCTCTTCAAGTGGGGTGGAGGTGGTTGACAGCTCTACTCTGAACTGTTACCTAGCTAAAGTTTGAGACCGTCGCAGCAAAAGTGCTGTAATCCCACTTCCACTATTTCACAAAATTACTGCGAGCTGCTTGGCTAGCAAGCTCATACGTCTCCTTTCGAGTATTCTCAGTTGTTCACTCTCAGGTCGTTGATTTTTTTTTCTGGGAAATCTGCTAGTTAGTCAATAAGTTAATAAGTTTTTGTCGGAAATTCTCTTATCTGGCTGGTTTTGCTTTTTGGCATGTTTTAAGCACAAGTAAATAAATAAACATAGTCAACAAGTTTATCAACAACTAATAATTGTTGGGTCAATGGTCATTAGTTGAAATGTTTCTCCTCTGACTGGCGGTCATCTTTGTTGCAGTTGCCTCCCAATATACGCGAAATCTGTTCTGTGAAGGCAACATCAAGGTTTCTTTCCTGAAAAATTTGTATATTTTAATGGATTTAGGGCCGTAGAATAAAACTTACACGAATCCACCAGGCCATTAATGACGGGCTTCTCATTCTTTCAACTTCCAAATCCCACTTTAGCCGATTAACAGAAGCGTCTCGAAGGGATCGGTTGAGACCTGTCATGAAAGCGGTCTGTTCCTCATGCATCTGGGAATGGAGTCTAGCCGCTTGCAAGAATTTATCCAGAGCAAGTTTGCGGAACTTTCGCACTTTTCATTCTTGCTGCCGAATTCCTGTAGCTTAAGCAGTCGGGACAGTCGGTCTGAAAAAGCAACGCATGCACTTTGTCTTCTTTTCCCTTTCTCAATGGCACAATGAAAAAAAAACGCAAAAAAAAAAAAAAAAAAAAAAAACGCCCCCCCGACCAAATCAAACATACGGAATCTTTCGTTCAAACAAGCTATTTGCTGGTGGCCATCCTTTGATCTTCGATCCAAAGCTCGGACATAAGGCGAAGGCGTAGTCTCTTTTTCTCGTCTCCTTTCTCCATTTCGTGAACGGCACAGAAAATAGAAGGCTTCTTTTCTTCTAAAAAATCAATAAAATATCGAAGAAATAGCCTTGTGATCAGAAGACAAGAGGAACACTATTTGAGAGATTTATCTGAAAAACGAGAAGTGTACTGAGTAGAAAGGACAGTGCAACCTCCTTCAGGTACAGAAAGACGCTATGACTGGCCCATCACCACAGAAAGCCTGCTACATCAGCGCCACACCCCCAAGCAGCAGCTCTGTTGTATCAAATCCCTGAGCAAACATTGCACCTAGGCCAGATCAAGTCTGTCTAGAAGGACAGAGGGTTAGAAGGACGTGCTTCCTCGCAACCAGAAGATTACAACGAGGCAGTTTCTTTTGAAGATAAGCCTTTACTGAAGGATCTCCATAAGTGCGCTGAGCAGACGTAAACTGAAGTTGATGTGGTAAAAATTTATTTAACCCATTCGCGACAGCGCGGTATTTTCAAGGTCTGCCCGTTCGGATCGGCGCCGTATTGCGCAATAGCGAGAAAGGCGGAGATTTTTCTTCAATAAAATTCGAATGGACAGGAGATTTCCTCTGCCCAGGGCTGGCGTAGATGAATGAGGGTATGAAGATTCTTTTCAGGAAAGAAAACTTCCCAAATTCCATTTGAACACGGCAGCGTAATATGATGAGCATGTCAAGTGAGCACCTCCGTAGGAGGCCACCTGTGACTTGGCCATTTGTCAGGATTGGGATTAAAGCATAAAAGCATTTGACGCTGTTTCTATTATTCGGGAATGCCGTCAGCTACTTCTATATGTACATTCGTAGTGGAGCTGAACCGATTTTCACCGGTCTAAAATAATTGCGGGGGTTAGCGATGTTGAATAAGTTCAGTCGTTGTGATGTAGTGTTACGATGATTAGGCGGATAAGTCAATGAGCTCGTGCTCGCGGGAAGGAAATTTGCATTTGAAAAATGATTACCACATTAGTCGTTTCTCATTGAAAAGCATAACGCAGGAAAATATCGGCGATTTTCGTTATGGGGATTCAGACTCCTTTCCCCTTCGTAAGCTTTGAGAGACAAGAAAAGGCTTTGATCAACAAATTTATCAACAACTAGTTAATAGTTATCGAGTCAATAGTCATTGGTTGAAGCTCTTCTCATTCGGCTGGCGACCATCTCCTTTGCGGAAACCTCCCATTATACGCGACATCTGCTGCGTTAGGTCAGCAACATCCATCTTTTCCTGGAATGCGTTTATTTCATGTTTAATTTTGTTTTATTTCATGTCTATGAGGTTCAAAGCAATTTAATAAAAAGTATCTTACATGAAAATCTTGCATCAGCCGACCAATAGAAACATTTCGCTCTAAAAATTGGGAGGTAGTGAAACGAGCAGTTCGCTCATGCGTCTGGCGATGTTCTCTGGCCGCATTCATGCTTCTCGCCTGCGGAACTTTAGCACGCTTCATTGTTGCTGCTAACTTTTTCAAGCGTAGGCAGTTGGGACAAGCAGTCTGAAAAAATAACGGCATGAAGTTGAATTTTGGGAGCTATCGCAAGATACGGGGGGCATTGTCTAAGACTAAGCCTGGGAAAGGGCAGGAAATCGGGGAGAAATGAAAATCACTCACGCTCCCAGAAGTCTCCTTCCCCTTTCTGGAGCAAGAGTCCAAGCTTTCAACAAAAGGAGATGTTTCAAGCGGTTTAACGTGACTGCCACTGCAATGCCCCCGTAATCTTGTGATAGCACCAAATTTTGTTTTGTTTACCATCCTTTCATAGCAAGCAAGCAAAGTAAACATACAGGGATGCTTCCTTTCAAATAAGCAATCGGTGGCGGCCACATGAACCCCATTCTTTCGCTTTCCGAATCGAAAGGCAAGAACGTGAGCGGAGATGTGATCATTTTCTTTTCATCTCCTTTCGACATTTCGTTAACGTTCTGGAAATAGCATGATTATTTTTCTTCCAGTGGAATGTCAAAGAAATAGAATTTTGTCTTAAGAAGTCAAGAAGAACGATTGGTTCATTTGAACATGAGAAGGGAACCGGAGAATGAGGACAAGAACCTCTCACGGGCGAGTGAGGAGGTTGTGACTGAAGCTCCACCACGAAAAGCCAGCTACATCTGCGCCACACCCCAGAGCAGCAGCTCAGTTGTATCAAATCCGTAAGCAAACATTGCACCTGGGTCAGACCAGCTTTTTCAGAAGGATCGAGTTATGAGAATATGAATACTTACTCGGGTGGAAATCCAGTTTGGGTGCACTCTTGTTCTATCATATCCTTACCATTAATCCTAGAGAGCCCTTCTTTGGGCTATCGAACACTACGGATAAGATAATAAGTGAACGACTCATTTCGAGCGTACTTTTGATAAGGACCGGTGGATGTCCTACATTCCACACTACCTGCCCACATCCCATCCACTTTTCTGCACAGGTGATCCACCCTGGAGCTCCTGCACCCTTAGCCCTTTGCGGAGGTGTCCTTTCTCCTGGTTCAGGAATTTGGCCTGCAATGGTCCTGGACCATTACAGGCCAAATTGTGCAACCACCTGAGGGATACCTCTGCACTACATACACCGGTACTTATCGGGAGTATACTTTGAATGAGTCGATTACTTGTCATGAGCGTTCTCATTCTTATCTTGAGGTATTGGAAAACACAGTGGAGTTCCCCCCAGACTGGAGTTTCACCCTCATAACAAAAAGATACACAATTAAGCCTCTTGCTCGACGAAGCGACTCTTGTTACATCATCTTCAGCTTCTTACAGGGTTTATCCGAGGCATGTGAAGAATATTGGGCGTCTATTCATCGCAATTAGAAAGATTTTTATGGAAGAAGTGGTCTTTCGGAAAAAATATGCCTTGGCCTCTTAGGCTGCGGCGGCACAGGAAAGAACTTGAATTTTAGTGGCAAAATTACTTATCATGCTCAAATTCAGTTAGTACTTGGTGTGCTACATGGTGGAACAAAACATCTGCTCCCGATTCGGCGGTTTGTCGAGGTCAATTTTCAGAAACTCATTCTGACTATGATTACTATTATAGCGATAGGCAATCGAAAATGGTATCATCAGTTGTCCGTTTTTAAGATAGGCTTCGTACATATGCTGTCGGAACGCATTCGCAAGTGGCGCCGACAAGTCTGTATGCGCTCATCATTGATGTAACCCCAAAATTCAGGAGCCCGGTGTAGGAAGTCCAAATTTGGATGCTTATAAAGCTGCTTTTTTCTACAAGATGGCCATAAAACCCATCGATTTCACCCTTGGACTGGTGCGCCCTTCTTCGTGCATGGCGAAGTCGGGGATTTGCTCGAAGCACTACGGTAGCGCCTTTTGAACGCTCGACGGGGGTGAATTGGCAAGTGACGTACATTTTCTGAGGGACGTTTGGGAGGCCAATTAATGATTGACCTAATTCGTGCTTATCAGAGAAACGATCCAGGGTGAGGACATCTGTGGATGTCGACAGGTACCATTCCAATGAACAGCGGCGCCTGCCTGGGGATGCGAAATTCCTTGGTGCATGTGCGCGGGTGAGGCCGACTTGTGATTCTCTGATGGCTGGCTTGTATTGAACATTTGCATCGGGTTTCTTAATTGTTTTGGAAAAAATATTGAAAAATTGGAGAACTCTACAGAAAAACGCAGTTACTAACCGGGCATATTGCAGATCTTTCAGTTATTTCGTGTCTCATGATAATGACAACTTCCAGTTATGTAAAGCACAGTGAAAGAATGCGCGAGCTGCTCAGTGGGCTTCCCATGCAGGTCGACGCGTCGGCAGAATAGGCCGAGCCATTTATCTTCGCCATCGCCAGCTTTCTGGGCCATAAAGTGTGATCTGATTAGCGGCGCGACCACAAGGAGAGATTAATGGTATCCCTAGGTGTAAGACATTACGGCCTGAAATAGTCAATACCGTCAAACTGTCACCTCTGGTCAACTCAGATACGGTATTAGCGGCAGTATTTCAGTCTTCTAAAGAACGGTAGTTTCTAATGAACTTGGTGGGAGCCTGGGAATCCACGTGAGATGATGAGCGCTAGAAGCAAATTGGATTCGGCGTTTGCTACGAATGCTCCCTGGTAAAAGTGACTGCATGAGAGGTTGGTTTTCTCAATACTGGCAGCTTCTTCTACTTGAGGAATTGCTTCCAGACCTTGCGACAAATTTATGAATAGGCGCCAAAGGTAAAAAAAATAAAAGGTAAAGGTAAAGGGTAAAAATTTGAAATTAAAAGGTAATCATTGCCCAGGAAATTTCTTCAATGGTTGAGGTCCGACGGTATTTCTGCCATCTGTCAGTATACTCAACATCTGCCGTTTGAAAACAGGATCGGTAAAGCTGCGCTGAAAAGTTTATCGATCTTATGGGATTCAAGCAATAAAATAGCAATCAAACCTTACATTAATATTTTTATGAGTTTATGCCTGAAATTTTCGCTCTGCTGAAAGGTGGCGCTAGCTTTGCATTCAGTCCACTATTCCTGCATCCGGAGCTTCAGAACTGTTCAAAAATGATTTGTCATTTCTAATAAAAACCGTAGTCGGGATACCCACTCTGAAATTTATCAATTTTTCCTCTGCTCACCTCTACTCATAAAGAAGTAGATCAGATCAAACCACTGGGGTAAATTTGTTTGAATTAAGACTGGCTTGCATCACTGTTAGTATGTTGGATAGCTCACTCGTTAGGGGGTCTTTAGAGTCGGTCCACGAACCAGAACGAGGATGCCGTCATTTCTTCCTTTTTTCTTTTTGTCATCTTTTTAACGATTCTGGAATCAACAATATTGGTTCTCTTTAAGACGGGATCGACAGGTAAAATGCTAAAGATAATAAAGGATAAAAGGATAAAGCATTTGCCGTTGATCAATCCCTTTTTGGGATGCGGCACGCATTCTACTTCCATTTGTACATTCGTAGTGGCGTTTGAATGCGATGTGGCCTATACAATGACTTGCGGGGGCCAGCCGATGTACAAGTCAGTGTTTTTTATCCTCCCAGACAAGTCTGGTACCAATTAACCGACCCCGGAGGGATGGAAGGCTTGGTTGGCCCGGGCGACTCACGACCCAGGATTTGATCCCCGATACTACCGCAAGAAGAAAGGAGGGGGAGGCGGGAAGACTCGATTGATTTGGGACCGTAAGAAGGCAGTGGAAAGGTGGAAAGGAGAGGATAATCTCTCTAGGTGACGGAAAGAGGTTGTGAATGAAAACCTATGAGGAAGAGCCTACGTTGACACCACGCCACAAAGCAGCAGCTCGGTTGTATTAAGTCAGTGAGCGAATATTGCACCTGTGCCAAAGCACTGCTTATACCAGGAGGGTGGGGAGGATTAGGTTTTCATCTCAAAACCGAGAGTAGCACGGAAACAAGTTCGTACAGGAAATTATCGCTTCTAGATGCCTTAGATATTTGAAAAGCGCTTATTTGCTATCGCAGGATGGGACAGGGGAGATGGATAGGCAGGAGAAGACCCGGCGACTACGATACGTTTTCTAGAGGGCAGTTCTAGGACGAACCTTGAATCCTGGGTGCGCGAAAAACTTTTATTTT